GGGGCTTATTGGAGGGAGGGTGAAAGGTTAATTGGTGGGAGGGGCTTATGGAAGGAGGGGGAGGGGCTTATTGGAGCGGGGGAGTACTATTGTTTTAGCCAAAATGCAGTAACAAGGGGATTAATAAAGAGCGAGGGGGCTTAATAATTTTCCCCTGAAAAGGAAGGGGTTAGTAAAGAGAGGGGAGGCATACTACAGTTTGGGAGGGGCTTACTCTATGGAGGGTTTAATACAGAATTTATAAAAGCAATAGCCATAAAAAAGGTACAATCTTTGCATTGTTATCTACCTGCTTTTCTTTCGTGTCATATTTGTCACTAGTCTTGCTTCTTTGACTTTTCTTTCGCACTTTAGTAAGGTCCGATTTGGATTTCTCAACAAGCTGCAATTTTCAGAGAACAGACATTTAACAAAAGTGGCTTTACCAAGATATAGCAGGAGGGCTGACGTTTTGAGCATGACAGTACGGCTTCCAGGTAATCACTCCCTAGTTCTAGCAACCTTTATTACTGTAACAGATCAGATAATCTACCTCTAAAGCACTTTTGCTATCTTGCAAATAACTTTTCTGCTTCGTCTAGAACAAGAATAAAACATAAAAATTAAAATCCATAAATATTAAATAAAATTCATAAATTTGTTCAACACCAACAAAATGGACGTATAATTTATATGTTATATTATGGATGTCACCAAAGTGTGTGCACACACCACAAATTCATATCACAGGGACCGCTGGACCAGGGGATGCCAAAAAAATTACCGGATAAAACCCAGCCTGCCTGTGTGGCATAACTCCCATGCTATCCTGCCCCCCCCCCACTTTTAAACAGGCTCCACAGTCCCTGTATCATATTCATACCAACAAATGTTGACGGTCATCCCTTAGGCGTAAAAAAAATACCTATGAAAAAAAGTACCTATAAAAAAAAAGTACCTATTTTTTTCTGCCGACCCTATTATTTTTTCAACGCGATTGACCGTGCGACCCTATTTTCTCCAGGTGGTTGCAGGCTGCTGCCAAAATGGTGTCTGTTGTCACACCAATTATTGAAAAAAACATGAAAAAAATATTCAAAAAAAAAATTATTTCCGACCTACCGACCCTAATTTTTTTGCGATATGAAACCGGAACCACAGGTATTTTTTTACGCCTTACATACTTTTGGCATGTTTACAATCAATCCAGTTCTTACAGTAGTAACAAACACAAAAAAATAATTGATTGTTTTTCAACATTTGCAGGCATGAATATGATTGGCATGAAATTTGTTATGTGTTTGCACACTTCGGAGACATCCATTATATATATTTTACTTTTGTTAAGCTAATCTTATTTTCAATCCAATCTTCAAGGGGGACAACAAAATCTTGACTGATGGCTTTTAGCTAAATAAAATAATATGAAGTGTTAGAAAAAATGCATTCCCCCAGGGTGGCAAAACTTGCTGTGGTCCAAAAAATACCATAGGTGAGGCATGGCAAATTTCATGTGCTCATAAAATCACTTGTCATGTGCTTATAATTCAGCATCTTTTTTAAACATCCTAGACAACTACTAACTACTAACAGTGCAGACCTGACAAGTCTCACAGTTCATCTGTGAGTCTGGCTTTGGGGCTGAACTTCAAGTCTCATGAAATACAGTGTATTCCTATAATTGCATTCAAAGAGGACTGAATATTTAACATTTTCTATTTTTTTTCTAATTCTTCCAAATCCAATAAAAAATTGTTTAGGGATCAGAGATTGAGCGCTAATGCGCTATTAGAAACAAATATGTTCAAAGAGCATATGCCTTCCAATCTTCATCTCATGTTATTTTCTAGTGCAGGAAATAGCATTCTATAGACCATAGCCTCCAGGTTCTTAACTATCTGAACAATGGCAGCTCTGAATGTGAAATAGCCATATATATAGTTCAGGTAGTTGAGTCAGTGGTGGTTTTCAATGATGTAAGAGGAGTGTACCCTTTAACCCTGTTCACTTACCACAAGGTTTGCCTGGTTTTCAATCTGTTTATGAACTGCTATGATATCGCAAATACCTTTGCCTAATAATACAGAAAATTGGTGCCATAAGCAGACATGTACGATGTCATAGAGGCCCTCACAAGATGTTTGTCAAAACCCTTGGAAACCTCTTGTCAGTGTACCTACCAAAATACTGGGTGATTTTTTTATGAGCTTTCAGCACAATTGGGTCATTCCAGAAAACATCCATACCTCCTCCACAGGGGAAATTGGAAGTTGTTAGAACCGCCCCCCCCCGCCCTTTTGTAACCCTAATACACTTACTACAATCAGAAACAAATTTTATAGGGGCTGTTTATATGGCAGCCAGGCTGGCCCGCTTAGCTAGACAGCCCTGCAAGCGAGATCTTACTGTGTAGTTATTTTTATAGTAAAAATTATTGTACGCTTATATGGGCAAATGGCTGGCCTAGTTGCCAAGAACTCACTTGCAAGATCTCGCTTAAACCCGGATGACTCGCCAGGACGAAATTTCAAAGATACCACCGCAAGTTATTTTTAACAACTGTCAAAACAACAAAACTGTCCTGGCAAGCAAGATGAATTTTTCTTATATAAACACAAGGGACATTCATCCTGCTTTAAACCGGGCTGTCTCTCTATGCAGGACAGCCCGGCTTCCATATATAAGCAGCCCCTGAGAACAAGGAGAGGCCATGTGCTAACTGCATGCCATTTTGACTTTATAAGATAAGCAGCCACCTGTCCACACATGGGCCTATATATAGACTAGTCTAAATGTGCAGGATTAAAAAAAAAAGAAATGTCTTTATAGTTTTATATCATTTCAACATGTTATGTTATATTTAATTGATTATTTTCTACTTAATCAATTAAAAAAATAAAAGCTCTAGATGCATAAACAAAATGTTATAGGCAAAACAATTCATCTTCCCATCTTATCTATCATGACTACTTAAAATGTTAATTTTCTACAAAAATTTGATAATTTAAATCATTGTCAACAATTCTCCTATAGCTGGTCAAACACAATTAAATAAACTTTAAAAAAAAATTCATTCTTAAACTCGCTTTTAATGAAAAGAACACACAAAGAAACTTGTTCTGTAAAAATTTCAGGAGATTATTAAACCGAAAATACAAAACAACACATGTCAAATCGCATTAAGGATATAATCAAAAAGTCGCCTTTCCTGTCCAAACATTTAATATGGCCTTTCGGTTTTCAATTAAAAACAAACCGCAAATTCTACCGGGCGTCCGTTTTAATATAAGCCTCCAAAAAAACGCCCTCTTGAAATTAATAACGTATAAAGTTTCAATACAGGCCAAAACAAACCTAAAACGGAAGAATTTGCTAATACAGCACCTTTTAAATGAATATTTTACATGTTTGTCGGGTTCGTACGAAACAAAAAATTAAAAGTCAACATTGACATTTGTTCACACCAAAATTATAATTATGGAAAATATGCAAGGTGTCACAAGAACAACAAACACTTCTAAAATGTTGTTTTTTCTCGATAAATCATTTCCATAGATTTGAGAGATTTATAACAACATCCGCATGAAACTCTGGAACTTCGATTTTGTTGTCGTGCGGCCGGAAAAAGGACAATATTTAATAATTATATACTGTTGTGCAAAATTACAAATACCACAAAAGTTAGGCATTATGCACTTAGCAACCGCCATGCATCGATGATTAAACATTATAATAGTTCTCATCGTTCGATACTTTGTTACGTTACCGGTCACTTTAATATATAAAATTCGTAATTACCTTCCAAAGATTTAAAATTTTTGTTCAACTCAATTCAGGTCCGATATTATTTTCTACTCAAACACGCCACAAAGCAAATAAGGGCAAAATTCTCACGATTCAAAGGCATAAATGTCAGATTTATGGATATTAAAAAAGATAAATGACACAGACCTAGTAGTTTATTTGATCCCTTGGTTTCGGACGCCAAATGAGCAATTTTAGTAAAGCCTTGATAGAATGTATTCGCAGCAACGGAAGCACCTTCAAACCAAGAAAAATAAACTTTAAACGGACGCAAAGCCCAACAATTCATAAAATGTTGTATAGTATTGCACTTACTCAGTAAGGCTTTGTGATATTGTTTTGCCGACGCTACAAATTCGCGTAGTTGCGGCCCCAAATCGATAATTCGCTGAAACAAATTAGAACAAAATTTAAACATACGTTCGACTGAGTACTACAAGGCGATATCGTTCGGTATTTACCTGATAAACGTCCTGTGTTATTCCGTGTATAACATCGCTATGTTCTAAGCTATCGTCCATGTTGGTAGATTATTATTCCACAAAGAATTCGGGATAGGACCTATACACGCAGAAGAGGAAAAGTGGCTCCTCTGACAGCTATCCGGAAGTAAATTGCGAGTTTTCTTGTCTTGGCATGTCCCGCGTTTTAGCGCCGTTCTATATTCTGTATATACGAGATTGTACCCAACGGTGTTTTACCCTAAGAAAATCCTCCGACGGGGTTCCAATCCCACTGATTCTGTTATAACTGTTTCAACATAGAACTTTAGTAATTTCAACAAAATATAAACTCCATTTTTTGAAATATATATATAGATTTATAAATATACAGTATATATAGGAATAAAGAAATACTATTACCTGCTATTTAATACTGTATAAAAGCTTACAAGGCAACAATACCCCCTACGGTAAAAGTACCTAATTCAAACGATGACCTTTAAACACGGAAATCGATGCCATGCACCATATTAATTAAATATAAACAAATGCTGTTTTTTTGCGATGTTTGACGCAATAGCGAAGTCAATTTTTGAACCAGGGGTATCTCCAAAACTCCTAGTTGCTGTAAATGTAATATTTTGTACATTACTGCTTACAGGAATTTTAATTTTGTGTTTTATAAATTTTTCCATACATGTCATGGCTCTGAGCATTTTGGCACTAGCATTGATTGTATCAATCAACTGGTAAGATTTTATCAAAATTTTTAGCATAGCTTGCAGTTTAAAAAGCAGATTAAATTTTTGTATCACTTACAGGCAGGAACACATCATTAATGTGTGTTATATGGGGTTTATTAAACCCCCACAAGGCCAGGAAACGTAATTACATGGAAGTTTTGAAAATGATAGTAATAAAGATGTAATAACAATTTAATATTTCCCTTTCACAAAGATAAAGTGCCATGCTTTTTGTAATGGGTACATATTTGCTGTACCACCATAGACAATCCAGATGTCTTCTGGATTGTCTATGGTACCACTCGGTGATGTCACAGTTAATATTGTATACATGTATATTGCTTTTGGCAAAATTTTGATTGTTGAATTGGGATACTTAGAAACAAGGGATGGAGCATTTGAAAAGTGAGGGGGTTGGGGTGATAGGAAGGGGGTGGGGGTGTTAGGAAGGGGGTGGGGTGGTGGGGGTTTAGGGAAAGGTAAAGTTTCTGCCACAGTTCACTTGGTGTGCATGTCTTTTTTTTGTATTTTGATATTTTTTCTTGTATGGACTTATTTTCTGTTCTTTCCCCACCTCTCGCTTCATTTTCTAACAGTCCACCCATAAATGATAAAGAAAAACATTCTTGTCCAATTAGAATCCAATTGTAAAGTCGATTAATTGAATTGGAATATTTCAGTCTAATTAGAATCATTTCAGTTTTATCGTTTCTCTATTGCCAATAAACTTTAGGTTTGTTCATGAAATGGCAGTTAAAACTAATCACGAATCAAAGAAACAGAGTTAACTGGAAACTAAAACATATGACTGATACACCAAGCAGTGAAGATGCTATAACGATGCAAGAAGCAGTTGGAAAAGATGTTGGCGCTACAATTTACCTCGTTAGATAATTGACACTTATCTAGAGGACATGTTCGTTAATTAATCTGTGTGTTGTAGGAAAAGACGTTACATAAGGTTATATTTTAATTTATAAGGATGTCCATTTTTATTAAACAAACAAAAATTTACAATAAAGTAAACCACAAACTCCTTTGCCGGTTGATACAGTAGTTCCCTAGCAATATGCTAGCACCATATTTTATGCACTTGACTACTTCACGTGTTTGTTGTGGGTGATGTCAATGGACTTCGAGAGGTTAGATCCTCACAAAAACTATCCGCACACAAGAGACACTTGCTAAGCTACTGTAACTGCCTTACGTGGCGTCTAGTGGTAACATTCATTCTAACCCATCACCTGCAACAAACGCCTGTGAGTTAGTCAAACCAATAATAAGGGAATCCAGTATCTACTGAAATTAGGTGTAAAAAAAAATACCTGTGGTTCCGGTTCCCGACCGACCCTATTTTTTTCTGCCGACCCTATTATTTTTTCAACACGATTGACCGTGCACAACCCTATTTTCTCCAGGTGGTTGCGGGCTGCTCATACAGCGTGCCAAAATGGCGTCTGTTGTCACATTAATTATTGAACCAAATTGCCTAAATTCGTCCATAGGAAATATGCATCTCTAGTTAATATTGATGTCGGAACTCTACTGCAAATCGCCCAGCAAAAAAAACGCCAAAACCATGAAAAAAAATGTTCAAAAAAATTTTTATTTCCGACCTACCGACCCTAATTTTTTCACGCTATGAAACCGGAACCACAGGTATTTTTTTTTACGCCTTATGGAAAACCATCATGTAACACTACAGCTATCACAAAGCAGGATGGTTGTCCAGTTGTTTCATGTGTATAGTAGATTCACTTTGTGCTGCCTCTTTCTGATTGATGCAATATTTACAGTAGAATTGCACTTCAAAGTGTATTATGTTGAAGTATAAAAAATGCAGTTGATGAATTTGGTAAGATAAAATGCAATATTTCCCATGAACTATCCTGAACATCCTCGGCAGCCACATATGACACATTCCACCACTTTACCCTAAGAAAGTGAACTTAAGATGTTAACAAATCTTGGATGAATTAGATACAGTGAAATATATTAAAATAGAGTGAAATATATTAAAATAGGGCAAAACTTCTTAATGCCTAATAATTACCTTTATTAATTAACAAGTAAATTTTACTAGTCAACTAACTCATGAATGTTTTCAGTAAATTACGTACACATGCGAAAATCTCACAACTTGTCAAAAAGAAGTGTTTGCAGTTGAATCAACAACCTTGTAGCAAGTTGTCAACAAGCTGGGAACAAGCAGTGTGAACACAACCTGCAGACAAGTTGTTGGAACAGCATTGCTACAAGTCTGCTGCAGGTTTGTTACGACTTGTGTGTTTTTATGTATGTAATAGAGATTGCAGCTGGAAATCAAGCTTAATTAAAATAATTAAATACAATGTTTTCAATCTAGAATAATATAGTCAAATGAATACATACTTCCTCCAGTTTGGTTTTGGGCACTCGGCAAATACACTTTGTCTGAAAATTGGTGTCACGAGTTTGAATACAACGTAAACAACAGAGATTTTCATAACCAGACTTTTTCCATTTTGCAATCAGATTTTTGTCAGCTATTCCTTCTTTTAGACAATATTCATACAGTTCTAAAATATTATTTTGTGAATGTTGATGTCTTGATATATTATAGTCACTGACACAGTGAGGAATTTCTATAATATTGCAGTTATCTGCAGAGGTGTAACTTAACACTTGCCTGGGGCAAGTGAATATCATGACGGGTAAGTAAACGTTTTATCTTGCTTGCCCGATTGGGCAAGTTTCCTTGCCACAAAAAGCTGGGCATTTTAAGTTTATGTTTTCATTGTTGGATAAATTTTTTACAGTGCATGTAGTTGTAATTCAAATTTTGTTTTTTGTGGGCCAAAGCTAGATCTGAGGCAGTATAATGTAGCCATATAGAGCAGCGGGAGAACGGGTCAACATGTTGTCCCCTTAATTTATACCCCCTATCTACCATATTCTGATTGCAAGTGAATTTTATTCAGGGCAACTAATTTTCATGTCCATCTTGCCCTGAGGGCAAGTGGTCAAAAAAGTAAAGTTGCACCACTGATCTGATTATAATTTGGCATTAGAAAAATGCTTCCAGTTTGTTAGACTAAGTTTAAACTAGTTTAAAAAATTGTACATCAACATCTATGAAACGTGTGCCAACTTTGTTGTAGAATGTACCACGGCCTTGTACGGTATTCTTGAAGGATTTTTAAGGTTTCCTACTCTAGTGGCATATTTGACCAAAAAAGGATGGCTAGTACTGGACCTTCATGGACAAACAGCCTAAAACTGATAAATATTAGTCTACTGACCTCTGCTGATGGCTTTTCTCTTGTAAAATAAATCATAAATATATCTTGATCTTTGATGATGAATTCTGAACAGAAATAAAATGATACCAAATTATTTCTATATGGACCCTTGACAAGTAAAATTGTCTGGCGTTAGACAGAGTAAAATAATAAAGTAGGGGCATATCAGTGAGGGTGCATTGCCACTTAAAGAATAAAGTGCCAAAAATGATTTCTGGTGTGTGTAATATTTGTGTTATTCTAAGTAGCAGTCCTCATAATTAAGCTATTTTTGCCTTCAGCCAAAATAATTGCCTAATGTCTTCTGCCAATTTGCTGCTAATTTTTTCTGCAAGTGACATAATGAAATTACTTTAAATTACTTTGGCAATAACTCTAGAGTGCGCTGCTCTCAAAATTTTATATTTTTTATAGCTGTGAAAACCTAATAATCAAAAAGACAAGAAGGTGATTCAAAGTCAATATGTTGACATTTGTGATCTTTACAACGGTATATCCCAATATTCTATTTCAACTTTGTTGAGTTAATTTCCATAGTTTTTGGAAAGGCTTTGGTTATACAAACTATGCACAAGACTAATGATGTCATTAACTCATCATAGATTTACGGTTTACCAGTCAGCAAATTTTTCGCTGACACAAACAGTGAAATTTTTAATTTGGTTCTGATCAGCATTTCCTTTAGCAGGGTGCGATAATTCGCGTACCAACGTACCGGAGGTACGCCAAATTTATGGTCTGGTACTTCCTTGTTTTTAGGCAAGTACCACGTAGGTACGCGGAAATTTGCTATTCGTGTACTTACATTTTCCTTCTAGCAATAACTAGCAAACCTGCCAAAGTATTCAAAACCGTGAAGAACTTTAGCTGTACATGTAAATTCCACGCATCCGACATATTTGGGGATGAAAAAAGCCAAAAGGTTATCTTTGCGCTTGATCAAAAAATTTATCGTTATCGTCCGAATGAAAAAAATCGCTCGGGTGAGCGTTTTTAAAATCGTTATCGTCAAACGATAATTTTATCGTTTTCGTTGTAGTGTGGACACGAACATAATTTTTTACCAATCTCGTTTACAATTTATCGTATCGTTATCGTTGTGTGGTGTGACTTGGGCTTAATTGTCAATGCTATACCAAGGCCCAAAAATAAAATACCTGTGGTTCTGGTTTCTCGACCGACCCTATTTTTTTCTGCCCACCCTATTATTTTTTTCAACACGATTGACCGTGCGACCCTATTTTCTCCGGGTGGTTGCGGGCTGCTCGTACAGCGTGCCAAAATGGCGTCTGTTGTCAATAATTATTGAACCAGGTCGCCTAAATTCGTACGTAGGAACTACATCTCTACTTAATATTGATGTCGGGACTCCACTGAAAATCGCCCAGCAAAAAAAAACCGCCAAACCATGAAAAAAATATTAAAAAAAAGTTTTATTTCCCACCTAACTACCCTAATTTTTTCGCGATATGAACCGGAACCACAGGTTTTTTTATGCCCAATGAGGAAAACTACACTGTATATAGCTGATGTCAGACTGTTAGCACCCTCGGTAAATCCACTGTAAATGAGCGATGGCGTTCGAATCACAACGTCGACGCTTTGAAAACTGTTATATTATGTTGTACAAATACCATAATTAAAGATTCACTTGTACAAAATTGCCCATACATTTTTTTTTCTTTTGGACCGGTAAATTATACGTAGGTATAGAAACGCATGACTCGGAAGTATAGTCTTAGGTACGTCTTGACTCTTAAGTTTGTACCAGATCAGGTACGCGGCAAAAGTTGTCGGAGTACCAGCCAGGTACGGCTAAAAATATTGAATTATCGCACCCTGCCTTCAGCAACTGATAAGTGCCATTTGCTTCAGCAGTGATGATGGCAAAGTACGAGAACTTAGGAGAAATTTAATATACATTCATAGTAAAATTTTTCATTGTAGAACTTAACCGGAACAATGCCATTAGATGAATTGCTAATTTTTTCCCTCTTTTGCTCCAAAACTCAGATGTCTACATCATATATCTAGCAATTAGACCATGAAAAAGTTGATGAAGATTTTACACATACCAAAAATCATATTTGGGATTCGTGGCACTATTTACTGTCGTTCCAATTGAAGTGTTGCTCAAATATTGATTCAATACATTACCTCGGGCTGACCAATTCATTTCATCAAGTTCCTCAAGATATTCATACACTTCCTAGTATAATTGTAAACTTCCTGTTGAATAGTTTGAATGCACCAATCACCTTTGTTGTTTGTGCAACTAACCAATCATAAATAGAAAGGAAGTGACCAGAAATGATCAAATACTTGGAATTGGCTCTTTCACAGGAAGTGTATGAATATCTCGAGGAACTTGATGAAACGAATTGGTCAGCCCGAGGTAATGTATTGAATCAATATTTGAGCAACACTTCAATTGGAACGACAGTAACAAATATAAAAATTTTCCGTGTTGATATACAGTTATATCAACACGAGTGGAATTGGGAAAACAAGAAATTGTATGGAAACAAGACGCCCGAAGGGCGGAGTGTTTTCATACAATTTCAAGTTTTTCCAACTTCCATGAGTGTTGAGTGATATTTAACAAATATAAAACATTTTTCGTGTTGATATACAGTTATATCAACACGAGTGGAATTGGGAAAACGAGAAATTGTATGGAGTGTTTTCATACAATTTCGAGTTTTCCCAACTTCCACGAGTGTTGAATGATACAACTATATATCAACACGGAAAAAATTTTTATATTTTTTTTATAATATAGCAATGTCAAAATCCCGAAGGATTAAGAAAAATTTCTGTGTTTACAAGCGGCGGAAAATTTCCCGTGTTGACATTGAGTTATATCAACACGGGAAATTTTCCGCGCATCAGCGTTCAGAATTTACAAACGCTATATATTATAAAACTATATATATCAAATATGGAAAAAATGTTTAATTTATATCTTTTTTATAATATAGCAATGTCAAAAGCCCGAAGGATAAGAAAATTTTCTGTGTTTACAAGCGGCGGAAAATTTCCCGTGTTGACATTGAGTTATATCAACATGGCTCTTAGTCAATCAGCATTCAGAAATATTTACAAATGCTATATTATAAATATTATATATAAAACTATATATAGACTCTAAAACTGCTGAATTGTTCCAGTGCGTGATCTTTACCTAAAAATTGGCCACAAAGCTTCAACCTTTCTCTTGCCTTCATGTGGGTCTTGCTCAGCTGAAGAAAATGTTAAACAAATTATCAATATGTGATTAACCCATTATGTTGACAATTATGGTTGTCAAGGGGAATATGTAGTGATTGACCAATAATTGGTATCAGTATCAGGCCGATTTTCGCCTTATCAGTGGACAATTGGCAGCATTATCTATATTTCCAATTGTCTAAAACCGATTGTTGAGAAAATACGCACTTTACAAATTATACGCATTGCACGTTGATACATGTTGCATTTTAACTCAGTTTATTAACCCATTAAGCTGCAGAGCTTCCCCGCCGTTAGACAAGTAAAAAAATAAGTACATGTAGGGCGCACTGCGGCTCAATCAATGGGTTAACTAGAGACATTGTCAGATTTTTTGGTTAACCCATTTAGCAGCAGAGCTTCCTCATTGACAAGTAAAATCATCTGGCATTAAACAGTAAAAAAAATAAGTAGGGCTCACTGGAGCACATTGTGGTTAAATGGGTTAAATTAGTGTGTGAAGCGTGCCATTTATTAACAGTTTTAAATCTTTGGTTGCAGTAACATGTTACGTTAGAAATTATTATTAAAAGTTCGACATGAATTACACCACCTTTACTCGGATGACTGATATTATGACGTCATTTTAAAATGGGTATCGGTATCTGGCAGATTGTGGCATGAATAATCGGTAATTTCGGATTGTTACAAAATCGGTCAATCACTAGGAATATGGTGGACATTAATGGTTTTGTGTGCTCTGAGTGTGTTCACACCGGGCAAGCTGAAAAGTTTGTTTGATCGCTGTGGGAATCGAACCCGCGACGTTTGGTTTGCTAGTCCAATGCTTTATCTACTGAGCAACAAGGTCAAGTCGGTTCGAGTAGACAATATTTCAGAGCTCAGTTTCAGAACTCGGTCTAGTTCCTTCGATATCAGTATGTTTCTACGATTTTTGTTTCTGACCATAGACTTGCGTCTATGAAAGTCCTAGATTTGCGTCCACCGCCCGCATGCCTCAAAAGTCACCGCCTAGAATTTTCATTATTTACAAAAAAAATCATTATTTTCACAAATAAAGCAAAACTCAATTAATTAGCACCCCGTGAGGTATTTGGTATTTCATATTTTAATATTTATACACACTCAAGTTCAACAACCACACATTTTTAATACACTCAAGTTGACAAACTACTACGTTTTCTGTTTAAATTTCTGTTCGCTGCATTGCTACACAGACAAATTAGATAAAAATATATAATCCATTTCCCAATGCTACAACTTTGCTCTGGAAAATCCAGACAATAAATTTCTAGAATTTATATTCCAGACAAACAAAATTATATAGCAAACCTTCTCTCATTTTTTGATCCAATTCATCCAAAGTTGGCTCAATGAGTTCCCAGCCTTCTGGAGGAGGTTTTCTACTTCTTTTTACTTTAGGCATCGCTCTAAACTTTCAAATAAAAGACGAATAATGCCTTGAAACTTTTATATACTATAGCTTATGGCTCTATATTTTTTATTTGTATGCGGAGAAAAGCCTGGGCCTAGTTGGTGACGAACTATTCCGAACAATTCCGAATATGAAACGATTCCAAACCAGTTCCAAACTGACGTGACGTCATTTTCGGAAGATGGAAGAGGTGTCAAATGGCAACCTCGCAAGCCAGGGTTTTTAAATGGCTATGTGACAAACCCTACCCCTACTCTAACCCCTAACCCTAAGCCACAGAATACTACACAGAAGTCCATCTCCATTGTTTTTAGCGTAAGCTCTATTCGTCATGATTCGTCACTCAGCAAGTACCGTAAACAGAAGCAGTCACCCCCCTGGACATACGCCATTTTTAGTATTTCCAGGGGGGTGACTACTTCTGTTTACGGTACTTGCCATAGAGATTATAAATAACACTAGAGGAGGCATTGTAATCTTAATTCAGTAAAAAAAAAGGGAACGCGACTATTGGGGGGCAAATTCAAGTCCCGGATGTGTATTCGTGTTCCCATTGGTGACGAGTTTCAAATCAGCCAATGAGAGCACGGTTTTATATCCGGGACTTGAATTTGCCCCCCCATTAGCTGCGTTCCCAATTTTTAAACTCGATGCCTCCTCTAGTGTTATTTATAATCTCTATGGTACTTGCTGAGTGACGAATCATGACGAATAGAGCTTACGCTAAAAACAATGGAGATGGACTTCTGTGTAGTATTCTGTGCCTAAGCGCAACCCTAACTCTAACCCTAACCAAATTAATAAAAAAAATCCAAAAGTCCAAGAAATCCAAGAAACAATTTTAGAAAATTGATAGGGCGGTTTACAGGATGGAAAATAGTGCTTGTTGAGGACGCCATATAAACTTTCAGACGGAGATTCCTTTAGATTAAATTGGGATTGAGTCAAAGCACATTTCTCTCTAGGATCGCCATTACAGAGTATCTTTTATTGAGTTCAATACATGGACATGACACGTGACATTAATTACATACATTTAGAATATATTAGTTTATAGTTTTACACTCCCACTTAAACTGATAATTCTAATTACAACAATAAAGTTTCTATGTTTACATGAATATGTGTTGTTGTTTTTGTTAAATTGTTCATTGTTCAATGCAACGCAACATAACTTAATTTTAAGATATTATGGGATATATATCACTAATTGTTTAATTGAACAATTTATCAACCTACAAGATGTCCTATAAACTTACCTACTTTGAGCCTTGTGACTGGCTTGGTGAAGAGATCGGACAAGTTCTCTTCAGATGGTACGTACTTTACATCGACAGTTCTTGACTGGATTTCTGTCCTAATAAAGTGATATCTTATGTCTATGTGTTTGGACCTCTGGTTTTGCGCAGGGTTTTTGGCAAGGAAAATGGCACTTTGGTTATCACAATGGATTATGGTTGGTTCGAGAATAAAGATGCTAAGGAACTCCCCTAGTAATTGCCTAAGAAACTTAGCTTCCTGAACTGCAGCTGCTAGCGCCATATATTCAGCCTCACAGGTTGATAGCGCTACCGTTGGCTGTTTCCTACTTTTCCATGAGATGGCTGGTCCATCTTTTGATAGTTTAAAAATATAACCTGTAATACTTTTCCTGTCTTCCGATGATCCCCAATCAGCATCACAGTACCCGTGCATACTCAATCCCTCCTTAGACTTTTTAAAAGTGAGCTTATTATCTATAGTACCTTTTAGATAACGAAGCACATGCTTTGCCATACAAAGATGGACATTGGAAGGATTTGACATATGCTGAGATAACTTTGTCACAATAAAGGAAAGGTCGGGTCTAGTTGATGTCATCACATAGATAAGGCTCCCAACAATTTCCTGATACAACTTGAGATCAGCGGGTTCGTCTGAATTCCCAGCACTTGCCTTATTGACTCCAAGTTCGCTTGGAGTCACCCTTGGTTTGCATCCTTCCATTTTGAACCTAATTAAAATTCTCTCGATGTACCTAATTTGATCCATAGTTATAGTGTTGCCAGTAAAGGTAAAATTAATACCTAAGAACCATGAAAGTATTCCAAGATCTTTCATCTTAAACTTACAACTTAAATCATCTTTCACTTGTTTTAGTGAGGGTGTTGAATTGGATGCTATAATAATATCATCTACCCATATAAGCAAAATAGTTTTCTTGCCATTTTGTTTCTTAATATACACGCAAGGGTCAGAAACAAGTTGTGTAATGCCTTTACTGGTCAAGAAAGTGTGCAACATATGGTTCCAGTTGCGCCCACTTTGTTTGAGACCATAAAGTGATTTGTTAAGTTTACATACTAACATTTCCCCAGACTCACTGTGTTTGACAAACCCTTCTGGCTGCTCAATATACAGTTCACAGTCGACTGGTGCATTGAGGTACGCCGTCTTGACGTCCATTTGATGCACTTCCATGTCAAGGTCTAGGGCCAACTGCATCAACATACGGATTGATGTTATCTTTGCTCTTGGTGAAAATGTTTCAAAATAATCAACTTCAGGTACTTGTGAATACCCTTTTGCGACGTAGCGTGCCTTATAGCTCTTTTCACCATTTTTACCTTCCTTAACTGTATACACCCAACGTGCTCCCACTATGCTCTTACCTTCAGGTAGTTTTGTGAGTGTATAAGTATTGTTTTCACTTAAAAATGATATCTCTTCATTCATGGCCTCACACCATTTTTCAGAATCTTTTGATTTAATGGCTTCTTTATATGATTTTGGATAAACAGATGTAGCACAACAGTAGTCTACATTATGGTTTATCACATCATCGTCATCTAGATCATTTTCTACAATGTAGTCATTTAAATGGGGTGGCCTTCTAGTGTTCCTTACAGGGTATCTTGGTTGTGGAGCAGGCTCATGATTTTCAGCTTCAAGTAGGCCTGCCTCGACATTGTCAGGTTGCAAAGGGACATTTCCCCCCTCAGGCCTTACTTGAGGAAGAGCCATTTCTGCTCCAAGTCTTATCTCTCTATGAAGAATATCATCATTTGTTTGGATATCATTATCTTGCTCAATGATTTTAAACTTATTAGTAAATTTCACATTCCTTATTTTTTGAATTTTCCCATTTTCTGGGAAAAGGACCAAATAGGCTGGACTACTTTTGTCATAGCCAAGGAAAATTCCCTTTTCACACCTTGCATCTAACTTTGTCTTATTTTGGGTGTATGCAAAACACTCAGTCCCAAAGATTGCCATATTAGACAAATTTGGCTTTTTATTTGTTAGGGCCTGGTAAGGAGTTTGTTTATTCCGGTTGTTATAACACCTATTACGTATATAGGTTGCAGTGAGAACTGCATAAGGCCAAAATTTCTTCTCAAGTTTTGCATCTATGAGTAGGCACCTGGCCATTTCAAAGAGTGTGCGCCAGTTTCTCTCTGCCGTCCCATTGTGGTGCGGGGAATATGGTGCAGACGTTTCGTGTTTAATCTTATTCCTTACAAGAAGAGATTTGTATGCATTATTTGTAAACTCTGTACCATTGTCAGATCCAATGCATTTTATTTTCCCATAAGGGGAGGAATCTGCTAAAAATTTCTCTGTAGCACTTAATGTATCAGATTTTCTCTTAAGTAAGTATGTGAATGTGGCTCCTGAATAATCATCAGTATATGCCAAAACATACTTAAAACCTTCACTA